TATGAACCCTCAGACTCCTTAAGATGCTCCTCTTCTCCCTGCAAAGAAAAACCATCCACCAGCTGGAAGACCTTTCTGGTGCAGCTGGGTCAGGACCAGGGAGATCTGCCCTGGCACAGCCCCATGGGCCCAACAGCTCCTTCAAGGAGGGAACCATCTTGTGCAGCTGCTCTGCAGACCCCTCCACCGAGGGGGCCATGCCCTGTTGCTACCACAGGAGCTCTTTGAACCATCTCTGGGCTCGGTGGGGAAATTTCAGAGCTGCTGTCCCTTCGTCCCCACGAGGACAATGGCCAGAGACAGCGAGAAACAGAGCAAACAGAGCCCTGTCTGTCCAGCAGCTTGAGGCTGAAACACTGCTCCAGTCTCTCTGAGGGCTGGAGCCCTGGAGGAGATGCCTTCCCAAGCCCGGGCTGTCAGCACTGCTGTACAAGGATGGTATTGATCTCTGTGGGCCAGATTCCAGGCTGCTGCAAAGCAGGGAAGCCCCAGGGGCTCTGGGAGAGCTGGGCCTTGCTACGCCCATGGGGATGTGCAGGGCTTTCCTTCTGAGCCTGTGTGTCTGTCTGTCCCCAGTGCAGGGTGCCAGTGGCTCTGGTTGGGCTGAGCTCAGCATCTGGTGGGTGGGAGAAGTTGCGAAGCTGCCTCGGGTAACGTTTCCTCTCTCCTCAGATGCCTTTGACAACGAGCTGATCGTGAAAACGCTCAAAGAGATCACGGAAGGGAAGACGGTCCAGATTCCTGTCTATGACTTTGTCTCCCACTCCAGGTCTAGCAGCTGCCCCTGCCTTGCTGTGCCTCTGCAAGCTCCCTGCAGTGCAGCACACAGCCTTGCCAGCCCAAACCCCCACCCCTTCCCTTGTCCCTGCTCCAGACCCCTTGGTTAGAGGATCCAGGGCAGATACGGGCACAGTCTGAGGGTCTGGAAAGCTTCTCAGACCCGCAGTTGCATCCAGCAACGTGCAGGCATCAGTGGAGGGGGGTTATGGTCCCCCTTTTCTTGCCCCATCCACACCTCCTTTCCCCATAAACTCTGTGTTTGCAGCTTTAACAAGTATTCCAGGCTCAAACAGTGTGGCACTGCCATGAAAGGAGGACGGTTCTTGCTCCTGTAACTCTTCCCTTGCATGTGGTCAGCTTGTTTTTGCATGCCTGTGCTGGTTGTGGATGTGACCCTGCTCCATTTTTGCAAAAGTACTTGTGGTGCTGGATCTTGCTGCCCCATTCCTAGGGGAGCAGAGCTGGCCCTTGCAGATTCCCATGGGTCAAGCCTCATGCACAGGCTTTCTGGGTTTTACACCTTGGCACATACAACACGTGCAAGCAGCAGCTGGCTGACGTGGGGGGGAGAAAGGCTGCTTCCTGCTCTGCCATTTATCCTAGGAAGCCTATGTATGCCTTGGATTCCCTTCATGGCAGTGGGGAAGGTCTGCCCTCTACTTGGCTGCCCCCCTGGTGCAGCAGGGATGTCCCAGGCTTGGAGCAGCGCCTTAGGAGCGCTGCTGCTTCCCCCCACCTCTCTTGGCTTGTTTCTCCCCAGCCTCATATTTTGACTCTCCTCCCCTCTGCTAGGAAAGAGGAGACCGTGACTGTCTACCCCGCCGACGTGGTGCTTTTTGAAGGCATCCTGGCCTTCTACAGCCAGGAGGTGCGGGATCTGTTCCGCATGAAGCTCTTTGTGGACACGGACGCGGACACCCGGCTGTCCCGCAGAGGTGAGCTCAGGTCCCACTGCTGTGCCTCGTGCAGGGATAGAAATGTCACTTAACTGCTGTGGGTGCCTGGCTGCGGAGGCAGGTGATGAGAGCGGAACTGGAGTTGACAGAAAGCTGTGCTGCTGGCTAGCAAAGAGCCAGGGAGCTTTTCCTCCCCAGTGCAGAACATCGCACAGGGCAACTTAATGGCAGTGGGGAGCACCTTGCTCTGTGTCTGTTAGGATGCAGTGGCTTTTTTCTGCCCTTTCTGGGATTCCTCCTTTGATACATGCAGCAATGTGACTACTGAGCATGCTGTGTCCTCACGTGGCCCTTTGGCCCCAGCCCTGTGCCATCAGCAGAACAGCTGCTGCTGCCAGTCAGCAGGTACCAGCCAGGAAGGGTGGGATGGGCGCAGCAAAGCAGCTCAACAGCTCAATCAGAAGTGCCTGAGGGATGGATCTGCTCAGGAGCTGGGGTGTGGGTGTGCTCTGAGGGTGGCCTTTGGGTGTGAGGGTGTCCCACTGTGGGTGATGCAGATAGGGAGTTTGGTTTTACATCTTGGTTTGTGCAAGCACAGCCAGCGCAGAATGAGACCTCTTTGTGCTACTTGTCACTGGGGTGATGACTTTGAGGTGCAAATAGCACTAGAAGCCAGAATCTCTCTTTCTAGGACTCCTCACATCCAGCTGGTCTTGCTGTGGGTTGCCAGCTGACTGAGGGGGGACTTCATCTCTTCAGGGTGCAGCTCTGCATGGCTTGAGATGCCATTCATTTCAAAGCAGTCTTTAGATGTGGGGTCACTCAAGTAGCTCCCAAGTCTTCAGGATGACTAAGGAAAACATCTGGGGACTCTTGGGGCAGAATTCAGTTTGGCCTAAACTGTCCCTGCCTGTGCCTGGCTCCTACAGAGCCTCTACAGGGTGTCTGGGAATGCAGAAGATGATGGAGGAGAGGTCCTGTCCAAAGCTGTGTGCTGTGATGAGAGGAGAGTGTCTCTGTGTTAGCCTGGGACTGCTTGTGTGCATGGGACTGTTCCACTCTGCCACTGAACTGGTCTTGCCTGCTCTCCTGCTGTCAGACAGAT